GCGGCTCAAACCGCCGAACCCGGGCCTCACAGCACCCTCCCTCCTCTGCCTCCTCCTCCTGCTGCGCCTGCGCTGTTGTGCGCCGGCGCGGCCTCCGTCGTGCAGCCGCCCGCACCTGGGGGGCTCGCAGGGCCTGCGCTCCGCGGTCCCCCACAGCCGGCACCCCGGGGGCTGAGCCCGCCGCGGGGGTCTGGCACGCCGTGCGCAATTCCTTGCAGGCACTAGGTGCTCTCCCTCCTGCCTACAAAGTGTAGGCGGGGATGAGTTTTAAACGTCAGGGGGAAGTCTGGAAAAAAAACACAATTGGATGCTCCTTTAGCTTTAAACAGAACGGGCTCGGCCGTCTTTTAGGTCTCATTTCTGTTCTGGCCTGCTTACCGCAGCGGAGCAGTAACGCAGAGAAGGTGCTGCTCGCTGACCCCCGCAATGCTGTTACCCGTCTGCATTCCTGTAGCTTGCCTGAAAGTTGCTCTGCTTCCAGTAGGACCCTACAAAGGCTCAGCAGTGTACGTGTGAGGTTGGTTTTTTGTTTTACCCATAGGACTGTAATGGTGTAATGAATATACTGCTTTGAAAGCCAAAAAAAGTGGAATTTGGGTAGAGGCCAGCAGTACTGCTGGGACCCGATGCTGTTTGTTTCAGTGATACTCGTCAGACTCACGTACCCCTTTTGGCTCCCTTAACCTTCTATTGTGCTCTAGGGAGTGGCTCCGTTTTACCAGGAAAACCAAGGAGTTTCTTTGGAAAACCAAACCTACCTTCTTGCACCTACTCCCAGCTTAGTCATTAAGGCATCGCCCTAGGGAACCAAAGGGCTTCCTTGGGCCAAGGCAGAAGTTCATCCCTAGTCTCCTCCTTACAACTCAGCACACAAACGCTACACTGGAGACCAGATGTACTTAATTTTAGCAAGGTCTTTTAGCTCTTTAGTCCATTTTTCATCAGCTCCTTCTCTTACAATAATAAGAAACTTGGGCTTAATAATGAAAATCTACATTTTTACTGGACCAGAGGGATGATCTTGTAGGAAAATGAGAGTGTCTTCCAAAAATTTGGAGTACAGGAGTTCTGCAGGGGACACAACAGTGCATAGCCTGGGAAGAGCAAAAATGGCATATGAAAGCAAAGTCTCTGTAGCAAAATGCATTCAGCTGTATACTGCGAGGTCAGGAGTCTGTGTGGGATGATGGATAGGGAGATTCTTGAACAGGAAAGGGCCAAGATAGGGGAACTCCCTGCATAAGGGCAGACTGCTGTCTGCTGGGTAATGCTTTGTTCCAAATAAATGCAGGGCTACAGCTCTGTTTCCACCACAGCCCACACTCTGCCTCTCAGGATTGAACAGGACTGCAGTGCAACTCCAGCTCGGAAAGCCCTCGATTGCCTGACCACCTAATCCACAACCATACGCTGGAAGATCCCTCTCAGCTCAAAACACTTGTGGAGTTAGAGCTCTGTACAGCACCAAGACCTCACCTTACTCTCCAGGCTGAGTAGGACCCCAGGGAAATTCCAGTGGACGCATCTCAACCCAGAGAAATACAAAACATGTTTGGTGAGAGTGGAGCGCTTACTGGCACAGGACTCCCTGGGCTCAGCTGCAGGAGAACGGAAAGGTTGGTTAGGTTTGGGGATAGGGGAACTGAGAGTCTCCTCATGCCTGAGAGCTATGAAGAGGCTGCTGTCTGGATGGAGTTTAAGTTCAATGCATGTTTGGAGATAGAGCAGATTCCCAAACTCTCCTGTGTGTTAGGGCCAGGGTTAACATTGGAGCTAGAGAACTGAGCGCCTTCAGAGCTGGAATTCCCTGCTCCTTTCTGTCCTGACTTACTGACTAGTCTTCCTGGATGAACCCTGGACCTGAATTGTCGGTAGCCTCATCTCCAGTCTTGTTTCTGGTCCTGTCTCTTGGGTGGACCTCAGACTCCCATTTTAGGTAACCCTTTTTCCTGGATGGATCTTGGACTTGACTGGGATGTGGTAACTGCCCCGGCTCTGTGCCATCATCTAGCTCCAACTTGCTCATGCCATGTCCCTACCCCAGCTCTGTGACCTTGTCATGGCCCTCTGTGTCTGTCTTAGGTCCATGTTTTCATCCCAGCTCATGACATATTCCTGCCCTGGCTCTGCATCACCCTGAAACTGCACATGATGACTCTTCTCTGGCCTGAGTCCACAACAGAAAATAGCAAATAGCATTGTTTTGTTGCAAATAGCAACAAAAGCACTTCACAAGCAGTACACCTCTGAAGCCAGATCTTCGTAAGGTGTGAGGACTCACCTTGATGGGAGGAGAAGCTGCTGTCAGGGCCCTGAGTGCATTAATAGCCCTTAATTACCTTGGCCAGCCTCAGCTGGGGCCTCCACCCACACACCCTCTGGCCACTGACTCATGGGCTCCATGTAAACTTAGGCCTGGACATCCAGACATGACCTGAGCTATGCATGTCCAGTCCTGTCTCCTGTTGTCCTGACATACAGGCTGGTCTTCCTGCACAGACTGTGGACCTCTGCTACAGGTAGCCTCATCTTCAGTCCTGCCTCCTGGATGGACCTTGGACACATATTATAGGTAGTCCGTCCTGTCTCTTGGCTGGACCCTGGGCTTGACTCTACCTTGCTGTGTCTGGGGTTGTTGGTGGATCCAGCCACTACTACATACCTGTTCCCATTCAGAAACTTCAGGACTGCACTGTGGTCATTGAGGTCACTGCCCTTGCCTGCACCATGGTCACCTCTGCTCCTGGCTTATCCTCCTGTGAAAAGCAGCCCTACTCCTGCTGCTCGCTGACACCCCTAGAGCTAGCATAAATGACAAAAGTTGTTACCTGACTTCAGATAAACATGTATTTGAAGTGGAGAAGAGGATTCACTGCTCTGCTACGTGGCAGCATCAGAGTTAGGGTGCCAGGGCACAGCGAGGGCTGGCTGCTCCCCAGGGGGAGCCGAGCATGATAACAGGGCAAGTGGAGGCAGGTGCCTCACCAGCCTGGCCCAGTCCCAACCCCCCGAGCAAGGTGAGCAGGGCAGCTCTGGTGATGGCAGTGAGGTTCCACCAAGAGTACGATCACTAGGCAAGTCCGTGGTGATGAGGTAGATCCAAGGTCAAGCTGGGGAGACATGCATGCGCCAGGGTCTGCATCAACAGGGCTGGGCCCAGGCATGGCTGCAGTGTAGCTCAGGTGAGAGTCAAGAGCCTCAGCTTAAAGGCAGCTCCCCAGGAAAGGAGCAGGGAGGCCCTGCTGAAGTGTTCCACCAGAGCTGTTTGGGAGAGCCTAGGCAGGAGCAGTTTCTGGCTTTCTTCGCAACAGTTCTTATCAGACCTTGAGCAAACAGCTACACAACCTGAAGGGGACAAGCACGCCCTGGGCCTTGACGTACTGTGCCCTTCAGTACGTCAGTACTCGTTGAATTACATCTCTGTCCTGGACCCCAACCCTTTTCTTACTGCTCAGGATTTGAGAAAGATGTTTTCTCTAGTGGAAATCCTGCTCTGAAGGGCCTTAGTTGCCTAATGACAGATTCTCAGATTAGCTTGAATTTGACTTGGGTAGCTCTTTGTATTTCACAGACTGCATCCAGTTGACTCATCAATTCACTTACCCCTACTCTGCAGCAGATCCCAGAGAGTCCCTCTCAGCTCAAAACTCGTGATGAACTTCATCTGCGTCCTTATCCCAGCTCTTATTCTATCTCTCAGCCTTCAGCAGAGCCCCTCTGGAATTCCAGCTTGGAATTAAATCATTTCCCTCACCTGCCCCTTAAGCTGCCAGGCAAAGCAGGGGCTGCTCTGCAGTCCCAAATGCTCACTGAACTGCACGTCTGTCCTGAGCACAGCCCTCATCCTAGCTCTCAGGGTTCAGGAGGACTTGAGGGGAACCCTTAGCCCTACGTTAACACAGTCACAAAGCCCAGCCATTCTCCTTTCCCATAGAAAAAGACATGGCTTTCTCCCACCCCACCTCACAGTTCAGGTTGCATCTCAGGCTACATAGCAGAGTATAGGTGCAGAGGAGTCCTGTATCTGGCTCCTTTTCTCAAGATTTCTTTCATACCCCTCAAAAAGGTGGGGAGGATGGACCTCAGACTGATGAACTTCTGTCTTTCAGACTGGCTTCAATATGACTTCAGGTAATGTTTGTATTTCTCAGTGTGCATCCAGCTGACTCAACAGCTAGCATATGCCAGTGTAAGTATATAAAAAAACTGCGAGCAGTAAAACTGCCAGCTGTGTAGTTTTGTCTATTGCAATCCATATATATAACCGTAACTTTCTTACTGAATGGCATATTGCCAGTATATAGGCTGGCAGATGTGCAGCTGAGGGTGTAAGCACCATCCAGAGAAGCCCATTTTCATGAGCTAGGAGCTGTTAGTTCAGGTTCAACAGCCTCTTTGCTGTGACTATTACAGTGTGATGACTCACGTAGATGTTCAAAACCAAACTAGCTGTTCAAAACTGCAACTTTTGGCTGCAGCAGCAGGGTTTGTTTTCCCCTTTCTCCTCTGCTCCTTCCATCCTGTCGCTTTCAAGGGCAGAGATGGAGAAGGTATTGTTTTATAACGGGAAATCACCGAGAGTCTTCTTCATTGTTTCAGGAAAATGTTCGGTTTTCACTAATCAAAAGAAAATACTCTGGGAAATGAGAAAAATTTAGGAATCCTGTCAACTCCAGAGGTTGATCTTTGTAGTCAGTCTCAATCTGTCCTCTAAGCCTGCTAGTGGACAAAGACGCAGATCATCTCTGTGGGTTTATAAAGGGCACTTCGACATGTTTCTGGATAAGAAACGAGACAGTTGCTGGCTCAGAAATTGCTGACGTGAGCTTTTCAGCTCAAGTATATTCATTCACAAATGTATTAGTCATTTATTTTCTATGTTAAAATACGGTTCATGACATAACTGTATGAGAGGAAAAAACAGAGTACTGTGCTGCAAAAGTTTCCTGTGGGATGCAATGAAGTGAGATACAAAAATGCTACTAAAATGAAAAAAAAAATCAATAGCTTTGCCATCTTAGTCATTTGACCCAACACCTTCAGCAACCACAGCAGTGCCTGAATGGAGACTTAATAGTCCAAACTGCAAACATATGCTGAGCCAGGACTAATAACCAGTTCATGCTGTATTTCTAGTTTGGCTAACGAGCAGTTATGGCACCTTCATTATGTCATAGAATCATAGAATCATTAAGGTTGGAAAAGACCTCTAAGATCATCGAGTC